CTGTCCAAGAGTTGTCTGTTTTACTAGGCTGTCCCTTTCCTGGTCCTATGGCTATGGAGAACAGGCTTTTCTTGGGGCTTTGTGTGTGTGTGTGTGTGTGTGTGTGAGCCTGTTGATGTTGTTGGGTTACTGGATCCCCCTGCATACAAGTGGAGATGTAAGAGGCCAAAAGGAAACCCAAAGAACTCACTGCTGGGTCATTCCTTGGGTCCTGAGGTCCCTAGCCTGTCTGCCTGCCTTCTTCTCTCCACCTTTCAGAGTTTTCTTATGCTTGTTTTATATATAATATCCAGAGTTTTTAGCTGTACTTAGTGGGAAGAATAGGGAAAAGATAGTCTATTCCATCTCTATAGAAGTGGAAGTCTCTACAGTTCTTTTTAAAACAGTTGATGAAGGATTAAGTGATTATCTTGTCTTACTACTTCCTAGATACGTGATGCATGGACCAGGAAAACAACTTAATCTTTATGACTGGTTGCATTTGCCATTCATGTTTTAATATAAGAAATGCTTCTTAAGGAAGAAAAATGTCACACAGAGGGAGTTTTCAGATAGCTTAGATTTTAAAAGTATATTTGCAAAGAACAGAAAGAATGTCACACAACCAAGGATGAATACAGGAGTTTAGACCATGTAAAGTCCAAGTAATGTCAGTAAGATTAAAAATGAAAAAGAACTGAGGCTCTCAAAATGCTAAGGCAAGCAAGGGAGGACAAAACCATCTTCTTGAAACTAACAGTATGACTACCAAAGACTACCAAGAAAAAAAAAAAAAGAAAAAAAGGAAACTGTCTTAAACACATTCACTCATTTTAGAAGATTTCTGAAGAATCTAATATGTATTAGATATTAGTGGTAAAAGATACAGAGATCAATACGATACAGTCCCTGCTCTCAATCATGTTTTAGTCCAGTAAATCAGGGGTATGCAGACAATCAATCACAATATACTGTGAAAAACCTATGAACAAGGGGAGCTTTGCAGACCACGTAGTCACTCTGTCTAGGGAGATCAGGCAATAGTTCACAGAGGAAATAACAGAAAAGGAAGGGAACATGCCAGACAGAGGGAACAGGACACACAAAGGTTTGGAGGAACACATGAGTATGGACAAGGGGAGTGGTGCAAGATGAAGTATGGGAAGATGACGTGGGGCTGGATTGTAAGGATCATTGTCTGTCATGCTAAAGAGTTTGGACTCAAGTCCTATAGGCAACCAGGAACTAAAAATTAGTTTTGCTCTTCTCTTCCAGGAAGTATAATGTTCAAGAAGCAAAAGGGAAAACCAAAACCCAGGCTAGATAAGCCACTGTACAAAAACACTTGGGATCCTGGTTCATACAAATCATATTTCAGAAAATATTACGATCTTTGAAAATAAAGCACTGACCTGGTTATGATTTTTTTTTAATTGTTGTGCTTTAGGTGAAATATACAAAGCAAATTAGTTTCTCATTAAACAATTAATACACAAATTGTTTTGTAACTGGTTATCATTTTTATCAACAGGTTTGGTTTGGTTTATGATTTTTAAGGAACAGTTTTAGCTAGAAGAGCTGGGCAAATGTCGTTCAAATTTGCATATCGTATCTTCCACCTCCTCTAGAAAATTACAGATTGGAGATATTTAACATCTATGCTAAGAATGTTTCCATAGTAGATTATAAAGGTACTATTTGGTGTGTTTAAGAAAAAAAATTGATCACTAAAATCCAGCATGGGTTCACTGAAAAAAGAAGTCATATAACGTGGCCTCATAAAATATCAGACTTCAGGATCTAAGTTTTAACCTAAAAATGGCTTTAACCACATCCTACAAACTTTGGTATTTTCATCACTGTTCAGTTCAAAATATTTCCTCATTATGACTTCTTTATTGACCCACGGCTTATTAAAAAGTAGTTTTTCTTGAATCTGCCATACATAATTATCTACATATCTTCTTCTTTCTAGCCTAACTGTATTGTGTTCAAGGAATATGTTCTGCATGACTTTATCCTCTGAAATTTGAGACTCATTTTTTAACCCCGTATATGTTCGATTTTTACATGTATTACATATGGTTTGGAAAGAATATTTATTTTGAAAGTCATGTGTCACGTAAAGTCCATGACACATTCGGTGAAATAGGGCATTATGTGATCTGGACATTGTGCAAACTCCGGGGCCCACAGGGCGGGGTTTCTGTCCGGCAGGCAGCTCCCACTGCTGACATCTCCTGCTCCAGTGAGCACTCTGGGAAAGGCACAGCAGGAGGCTCCAGGCACCCACCGGACAGCTGGGGAGCAGTCTCAGCTACCCAGCAACCCCACCCTGGCCGGGCGCTGGGATGCCTGCTGACCTTGGATACTCAGAGACAGGATTAGGCACCCACCCTTCCCAGCAGCAGGGGCCCCTGTTCCTGTGGGTGGGATGTGGGGCAGACTTGCTGCCAAGCTGGGCTGTGGGCGTCTCCCGGAGGGTGCCCAATGGACCACAAACGTATGTGCGGTCAGCCGCCGCCTGAACAGACATTAGGCGGCACATGACTGCATTAGGTACATTGTTTTCTGTCTATGTATCTTACAGCTCAGGCTACTAACCAAAAGGTCAGCACTTTGAATCCACTAGCCGCTCCTTGGAAACCGTATGGGGCAGTTCTACTCTGTCCTATAGGGTCGTTATGAGTTGGAATAGACTCGACGGCAACGGGTTTGGTTTGATTTGGTTTTATACATCTTATGCATATTTTCACATCTTCTATATCCTCATCAGTTTTGTGTAATTATTCTATCAATGACTAAGAGAGGTGTGTTAAATTACATAGCCACTAAATTAAAAAAAAAACAAAACAATATGATTGTAGATTTGTCTTTTTCTCTTTGTAGACTGCCTATTTTTCCTTTATATATTTCTGAAGCCTTGTTTTTAGTTACAAACATATTTAAAATAATACCCGATTAGTGAACTGAATCTGTCATCATTATAAAGTGATCCTATTATCTATAATTATGCTTTTCGCCTTAAAATCTATATTGTCTGAAATTAATTTAGCTATGCTGCTTTCTTTTGGTTAGTATTTATTCGCAGGGGAAATACTATGTATTTATTTATTTACCCACTTATTTGACATTTTCTCTGCTTTTCTCACATCTCAAACCTTCTATCAAGGATTGCTTTCCTCATGCATAAAATATATCCTTTAAGATTTGCTTTAGTGTCTACTAAAGCAACTTTCTCTGTTTTTGTTGTCAGAAACTTGCCTGAAACCATTACCTTATTCATCCTATTTCTTAGAAGATAGTTTTGCTAGGTATGGAATTCTGTCTAGGCAGACATCATTCTGACATCTTCTGCCTTTCATTGTTGTTACTGAGAATTCAGCTGTCAGTCAAACTGCCACTTCATCAAACAGAATCTAATTTCTTTTCTCTCTACTTTGAACACTTTCTCATTGTCTTGGATGTTCTACAATTTCACCATTATGGTACCATGGATAGATTTATTTATCCTTCTTGAGACCTGTTGGGCTTCTTGAGTCTGTGGTCTAGTATCCTTCATAAATTCTGAGAAATTCTCAGCTATTATCCCTTCAAATATTGCTGCTGCGCTACTCTCTATTCTCCTGAAATAGACATATATTGGATCTTCTAACGCTATCCTTCGTGTCTCTTAATATTTTTTTTCATATTTTTCCATCTCTGTCTCTTTGAGTTTCATTCAGTTTATTTTTTACTATCTTTCAATTCATTAATTGTTTATTTAGCTGTGTTTAATTTGTTGTTAAATCCATCCTCTGAATTTTGACTATTATTCTTTTTTTTTAAATTTTTATTTGTAGAAGTTCCATTTGAGTCTTCTTAAAATCTGTTGGTTATATTTTAATTTCAAGTTTGTCTTTATTTTTATTAAACACAATAAATAGTCATTTTATAATTTCTATCAGATAACTCTAGTAATTAAAGTCTTTACTGGTTCGTTTCTGCTTCCTTTTGTTTATTGCAATTCTTACTTATGCTGCATTCTTCATGCTAAATTATTTGGTAGACTTCTATAGTGCTAGAATTAAAGTATTTTCCTCTATAAACAGTTGTGTATTTGCCTTTTGCCTGGTGTGTATGGGTACTAGTAGTTTTTTTTTGAACCAAATTATGGCTTGAGAGTTATCAGACTACCCAGTAATGTGAATTTGGGCTGCAAATCAGTGAAAGACAGCTTGTGGTTACTATTTCTCACAGACAATTCTCTATTGTTCCATCACCTAACCAAGGCAACTTTGCTTGTTGACTCCTGAGGATGGTGTGGATATACAGGGTTTGCTTTTAGTTCAACACATTCTCCTATTCTTATACAACTGTTCCTTAAATCCTGGCAAGACAGGTTAAATAATTTAAGTAGTTTATTTGGAAAAGTAGAAAAAGAATTTTAGACGAGAAAGAAAGAGCAGTAAGTAGAGGGCCTCCTTACTTTCACTGTTCCTTCTACGAAACCATGCTTATTTGACTAAAAGTAAAAAATTTGCTTGAGTAAATATTTAAAGCAAATGAAAGAACAAAACAAATTTTGAAAACAAACATTACTTACAAGATTCTGGCATAGGTATAGACTGCCTTATGAACATTAAAAAAATTCCTATAACTGTGTTTGGGATTTTTGCACATTGAATGATAATTTTATTGCATCAAAATAGAATTTGTTGGTTTCTAAGTAGATCTTTATAGCTGGTCACAGTATGAAATTCAATGTGTTAAATTATATTAACAATACATAGAGAGTTTAAGATCCTCGTTAGAAAAGGCAATTAAAATTCATGCATTATAAGCATTGCATAAATGGTCAAAATAACTTCATTATTCTGCTTCATAGTTCACTTTTTAGTAAGTGGAATGATACCTTCTATTGACGAATTTTAAAAAGCTACTGTTCATTTCAAAGTTTTCACTCAATTTATCTTTTCAGTTCACTTGTCTTTTTTAAAAGAATCAAAAGAATAGAATATTACAATACAAGTTAAACTCACCATCATCTTCCCAGCAGCTCTGAGCATTTCCTTCTCTGTCGCTGCTCCCTGGCAATACGGTCTGGTCTGCTGGCAGGTCGTCTTCTGGCACACCACCTTCACAGTCTGCTGCATCTGTGACACTTTCTTCTTCCACAATATGGAGTTTGTCTTCATCATCTGAATCTGAATTTGTTTCTACCACAGTATTATAATTTGTAACTGTAATACAAACAAGAAACGAATATTCAAAACCAGCTCATGTAAAAATCAGTTTTTTTACCTCAGAAAAAGAGAAACTTAAAAAAAAAAAGGGCACTCAAGTGAGACTGTAATTCAATAATGTTTTTAGAACCATGCTATCTAAACAACTAATCTATCTGACAGCACATACACACATACAGCACTCACTAGACACCAGATGGCCAGAACGGCAAATGGTAATAGCTACACTTACTGAGCACTTAAGCCAAAACCAAACCCACTGCCGCTGAGTCAATTCTGACTCACAGCGACCCTGTAGGACAGAGTAGAACTGCCCCATAGGGTTTCCAAGGAGTAGGTGGTAGATTCAAACTGCCGGCCTTTTGGTTAACAGCCGTAACTCTTAACCACTGTGCCAACCAGGGCTCCTATTGAGCAGTTAGTGTACGTATAAAACCAAAGCAGTTGCTGTCCAGTTGAGTCTGACTCATAGTTACCCCATGTGTTTCAGAGCTACTGCACTCTATAGGGTTTACAATGGCTGTGATAGTTCAGAAGTAGATTGCCAGGCCTTTCTTCCAAGGCACCTCAGAGTAGATTTGAATGCTTAACTGTTTATACCACCCAAAGACTCCTTACTATACGTGTAAGTGCTTTCTAAAATAGTTTCTCATTTAATTCTTACCACAAGCCTGTGAAACAGGGTATCTATCTACCACGTACTACTTATATTCCTTTTTTTACAAATGTGGAAATCAAAGCACAGAATGTGTAAGTGATTTGCTCAAGATTATACAGCTAGGAATTGGCAGGCCAGGATTTGAACTCCAGCCGTCTGGTTGTATATTCTCTATTCTTAAACATTAAACATCTTCTCCAATAATAATGAGCTGATTTTATATAATACTGCTTATGAAGAATTAGGACTTCAAATCTTTAAAGCATTACAGTTTAAGAAAAGAAGCCATCCCTTCTAAGAAAATAGCATTATGTCATCAAATTTTTCCACAGCAAAGGTATTTTCAAATTGTCAGTTAGGCCTGTGATATCATACTAATCTCTCCACCATGCACTGACTTTAGAAAGAATCAACCAATTTTGCCAAATTTCTATAAGTTATTCTGCAAAATAACCACAAGTCATTCTGAAACAATAACTGGCATTCAAAAGTTTTCAAATGGGCACCTTTTCCATAATTTTTAATGAATTTCAATGAAACTTAACATCAGTATCGCAAATACATATATTTATTCTGAATGACTTTTACAGCTCTTAGAACTACGAGTAATAGTTGAAAATAAAATTCTCTAAAACAAATAATTTAGCATAATCAATGCTTTCCTTCAGAGTCCTTGTAACAATCACTTTAATGGGATAAATTATTTAGCACCTCACTGAGTGTCATCACTGGAATACCCTTTTTCAACTATTTGCCAGGTGATTTTTACTGGCTAGAATAAGACTGAGAGGAAGGGAGATAAGAGAAGCTTTGCTCTGTTCAGACAACTGAAGAGTAATTACTTCTTGTTATTCTTTCCATTGCTTCCTGAGATCTTCCCAACGTTCTTGCCAGAAGAAAATCGTCTAAATGCTGAACAATATGCACACATACCCCCCAAATACACACAGACCTGAAAACCTGAAGAAGCACATTTAAAAAAAAAGGATGGATGTATATGTCAAAGTAAGAACAAATAATCAAATACCTCCTAAACAGCTTTTATAGACACTGAGAAGACCTATCTGTCCAAAAAGAGAACCCAAGTTACATTTTTCCCACATTAGAAATTCTTCAGTATCCGTGTCAGAAGAAAATATCAAGTCTTGTGTCATTAATACTTTAGGTTGCTATACTCTGAGCACTGAATTGTGTGTGTGGGTAAGGAGACTTATTCTCAAAGGGTAGTGCAGGTGAAGGGTTTCCTGATGGGCCTTTAACTCACAGTAAGCGCCAAACATAAATACACACAGACACGCACACATATATACATATATGTGTAAATGTATATATATATATTTTTCTTTTGAGTGGGGAATCTTACTGGTAGATGATGCTCAATGCTATTAACTTTCATTTCTACTTTCAAGGGCTCCTTTATTAGTAACCTACTAAATGACTTGCTAAAGTAATTTAAAGTTGGTATTTAAATACCATAAACTAAAATTAGAATATAGCTATGTTTACTATACTCCACTACCTCTGGCCGCTGCATAGTATTTAGCTCATTGAAAAGCTCTTACTACATATGGATAGCTGAAATTCCTGCTATTTTGTGGAGGGAGGCTTTAGAGCTTCTTCATTATCCTAAGTTGGCCAAGGTTTCATACTGATGTTATCCTTGCCTTTTAATGATATAATACTGTAATTTTAACACTATCAACCTTGTTTTTTTTTTTAGGTTGTTTGGTTGTTACCCTACAATGTATATTTAACACATTGTCATCTACAGTATTTCAGGCTTGAAAATTTCCCAATAATTAGGCCTTAAGACTTATGTGCACTATGGTTCAGATATTTGCTTGTATGCTTCATAGTTTTCACTGAATTTTTTTTTTTTCCTGAGCTGCAGAATGTTCTATCCTGCCTAAGTCAACCATAGCCCAAAGCGGTCTTAAAAAACACCTGTCACTTTCTAAGACTAGAAAAACTCCTTCCTGTCCCCCAGATTAAGTTACCATTGTGATATGGAAGTTTATAAACCAACTCTCCAAAACACAAATATTGCACATAGTTTATAGCTATCTTGTGAATTTTCCCAAAGCATGTTTTGAACATGTAGCATAAGACTGGAAAAATCCAAAAAAGCCATACCTTTTACTGGCTAACATACAGAAAGACCTCTGATTATTTTCTAAGGCTTCCCAGTATCTTTTCTTCACGATCACTTAGCTGAGCGAAAGAGCATGAGAACTGCTTATATTGATGATCGTAACTGAGGTAACAGGAACGCTTCCCGCTGTTTCTGGAGCTAACTTTTCATTTGTGAATCTACAGAGCTAATTTTACAGAGCCCTAGCACCAAAGCGTAAAGAATAATACAGACCCTTAATAAAATCTAGTAGCCAATGAGAGTATCAGTTATCACAATTGTCTGTCACTTTATCTCCACATCTCTGTATTATTTAACTTTTCACTACAAGATACAATAAACTATAGTTTGTCTAAAGAGTGGTATAGTCTTAACAATCACAGTTTATCATCACCTCTTGGTTCTGTGTCTTAATTAAAATAATATCAAGAAAGGAATAAAGGAAAAATAGGTAAGGAGAATATAATTTTTTAAATCTTTAACTGTAACTTATGATATACAATATGAATTTAAATTCCAATAGAAAATGGTAACATTTTCAATGCATTCTTATCATCAGAATGTGGTTGAGAACATGGTGACTTCTTGGTAATAGTTCTTGTTGGTATTATTTGCTAACGTTTAATGTCAGATATAATAGTACCCACTGCACAGGTTTGTTGTGAGGATCAAATGATTTATTACATGCATAGCGCTTAAAGGGAGCCCTGGTGGTGCAGTGGTTAACAGCTATGGCTGCTAACCAAAACGCTGGGAGTTTGAATCACTAGTCACTCTTTGGAAATCCTAAGGAGCGTTCTACTCTGTCCTGTAGGGTCACCATGAGTCGGAATTGACTCGATGGCAACAGTTTCAGTCTGGTTTGGTTTGTAGTGCTTAGATTGGTGTCTGGCACACAGTAAGGGCTACAGAAGTGCTTCTTGTTGTTGTTATCTTACTGAATCTTTGTAACAACACAAGAAATAGGTATTATTATATTTTCCTTTTACAGACAAGAAAATAGAGTAGACGAGTAACGTGTCTGAGGTTATGTAGTTATTAGGTTGCAAAGGGGACTCAAACCTTGGCCAGCCTGATTCCACGGTCGATGCACTTTAACCATTACATATAAAGCCTCCTGACTGAAAACTGTTGCATCAATGATCAATACCCATAAACTTTAATTTTGGTGTCCAGTCTATTACGGGGCCTTGGAATGCCATACTTCACAATTTGCCACTAGAGACATCTTCAAATGGCTACAGAATGTTAACCACTAGAATCTCATAACAATATAGCAAACAGTATACTATGGGGTACTATCACTACAGTCAATAAACTTTTAAAAGACTTTCACACAGCATATTGTTTTCAGCACTTGATTACATGCAGTACCATCTCAACTGTACTAATTAAAGCTCCATGTAAACATCTTTTTCTTAAGTAATGTACAATTATAATAAAAGAATTAGATAAATTAGATGAACATGGTGCAGCAAAAAAGCAATATAAAGTTCAACCAATTACATTTTGCTTTCATACAACGTCAACCTCAGTCATTAAGTGTAAGAAAATGTAAATGCTTTATAATAAAGAATCCCACAATAGCTCATTTACTATAACTCTGAGTAGCAGCTTAGGTCCTTGTAATATGGGGAAGAGAGGTGGCAGGGAAGGTGGAGGCAACAGATTAACCTTCAGTTGTTCAATTTTTGTCAGTTGATAACTGGCATGTGCTGATTAAAGGCCATTTCTTTAACATTTTCTGGTGTACAAAAGGCTTTTCTTTCCAGCAGAGGTTCTGCTTACATTATACTACTAATGATGTGCTTAACTAAATTCCACTCATTTCCACCAAACCCTCAAACACACATTCATCTGCATGGTAGAAAAGAAAGATAAAATATCTCTAAGGAACAGACATGACATTAATCCTTAAAAACCAACAGCCTACTTTTAAAAAACTGTTCCATGTATATCAGACCAACCTATTGTTATAATGTAAAGAAACCTCTAAAAAAACAGGTAACACTTTGACTCATGCTCTCCAGAGCAACGGATTAGAGTTCTATTAAGTAGTAGAATCCCATGTTAGCACTATGCTGAGAATACCACAAACTGAGGCATAAATATTATGTAATATGAAGGTCAAGTTAAGACACTGAACAAGTACCTCCATTATTCTTTAACACCAGTTGGGACAAAAAAATAACACTTAAATAATCACTT